TCAGCAGGTAAAAATTACCATAAATTCACAACACCCACCGTCTTACAATTTTTTTTATGAACCTGATCATTCACAATTTTGCAATTATACAACAGATTACAAGAAAAATCACATGAAAAGTAACAAAGCTCTTGTATGCAGTTGTAGTTTGTATCAAATATAGAACATGTAGTGAAATTATATACACAGGAAAGCAAAGCTGCCCAGAATAGAATCTAGTTTGTATGTGATATTAGGTGTTGCAACTTTACTTTAATGCATTGATTAGCAGGTCTGTATTACCGGTAAATTGATTGTGTCACTACAAGTCTGTGGCCATTCAGAAGGAGATTGTTGACAAGACTGATCATTTCATCATACTGCAGTCTACAGGTCTAAACATTCCCTGCATATTGACAATGTGCGCGACAATAAAGCAATCATAGCTTAAAGTCGAAATTAGCATTTTCATCAGGATATTGCTAAGTATAAATAAACTTTTCTCGTCTCTTTAACAACTGCAGTGAGAAAACAAACCAAACATATGGAAATCTTTGTTGTCTTAATTAAAATGAATGTCTTTGAGAAACGCATAATTTAAATTATAGTTTGAGTGATTGCAATATTGACTCATGAAGATCAGAGTAATGTAACATTATAATATCTTGAATATAAAATTAGTCCCATAACTTCCATTGATCTTATTAATTGAGTTTATGATTTTTATTTCATTTATGCAAGTTTGAGTTATATCCATGTGCATTCAAGATCTAGTTTTTAAAACCTGTATGAGTGATGGAAAATGGTTAATTGTTATCACTAAAATGGCCACCAGTCAGCCAACATTATGTATCAGATCACAAAATGATTGTCTAGGGGATACATGTCTACTGATGTATTCATGTACAGGTTAATTTGAATGTAATCATGCTGAGAGATAAGAAACTACATTTTTTTTTAAAAAGGAAATTGTCACAAATGAGCCAGTTTTAATCTAAATCGTAAAATAAAATAACATGCATTGAAGTCTTACGATGTTTTATGTATCAACAAAATTTGAATCAAACCCAGCCATGCATGCATGCATGCATGCATGCCAGAAATCAGGTTCTCGAATGGCAATAATGTATAATTTTGGCCACATTGTTTCCATGTAAAACGGCTGCCAGTCAGCCATTTTCAACTAGATCATATGCAACATTACTGTAAACCATCATTATACAAAATGCATGACTTTTAATCAAGTGTGAGTGAAATCAGTCTAGGCATGTCTGAGAAATATGTCCACATGGCTGAACAGAAAGGGCAGAAATGACAGGACACCAGTGATGAGCAAATATTTAGTTATGGGAGAAAGGTGGCAAATGTCAGTCACTTTCAGTCAAATTTATTTATTATTAATGATAATTTATCTTGTCCAAAGATACTCAGCGATATGGAGAAAAAATAGAATAAATCATTTTGATTTGACAGCATTCAAGAAGATTTGAAAGGTGTTTGTTTATTCCTCAGCACAGAAATTAACATATTATAATTCAATTTGTTGGTGTGAATTTATTTTTGTTGAAAGTTTAATGCCAGTTTATTTGGGAATGATATGGCATAATTGTTGATACAAAATGCAGTTTAAGATGATTCCCATGAATGCAGGAAAAGTCAATTTATTTATTCAGCCTTGGAAAGTTGTGAGTACAGGCTTACATACTGTATGCATCTAAAAATGTTTATATCTGTAGTTAACATGTACTTATTGGGAGAGTTCAACATGGGAGAATTGAAGCCCTTCATGTTTGTGTCAGATTCTATAAATAATGTTGTGTTTGAGAGCATGACAGTCAAAACAAGTCATTGAAAATGACACAGTCCCCGTTAAGTTCTCTTTGTGCTCGTCATATTAAAGCGGAGGGGTTGTCGCGAGCATGTCCTTGAAACTTGAGTTCCAAGTGGCATATACAACAGATTGTTTATTTACATCAAAACACGTGTTTTGTGTCATAGTAATATGGCCAAAATAAAAACAGTCGTTATTCAGCCATCTTTGATCTGATTATGAAACACACTGATATGTATGATGTATGTGCCAAATA